GTGTTACACATGGAGTTTTTTTATATTATTTATTTAACCTTTATTTATCCATGCGAGTAAACTGTTTGAGAACCACTTCTCATTTACAAACATGACCTGGCATGCACTGAGTGCCTTACAATATACAAATCTACATATTCAGCCAGAGTAAAGTGATTGTGAATTTTTATCGTGATTAAATTTTTTAATCTATGCCCATGCAGAACTAAAATTAATCAGAATTAACTCGATTAATTTCACAGCCCTAATTCATATTTATATAAATGGTGGCTCTAATCCTCTTCCGTAGAAAATTGGTTGATAGAACCTCTGTTTCAGATATTTCTGATGAGATTTCAGGCTTGGTCATGTGACTTATCATGTGGTTCCACAGTTTCAATCCTGAGTAAACAGGTTTCAGTCTGAGGTTCAGGCAGTAGTTATTCTGTCTTAATAGAGTGCAGCAGTGTTTGCACTGATTTATTTTGCATTTATAGGACTTTTCTACACATCAGCTCGTGTTCACGTGTTCATAAAAAACACTTTACGGTGAAATTTTTTCAGCACATTCGGCACAGTTGCTATAGAAACCATGAGAGCTCTGCAGCAGTGATAAGATGCTTGTTGCCATGGTGAAAGATGCCACAAGTGGTAACCATGGAGACTACAGTGAAACAGTAATGGATAGAGAAAATGAGTTCATTAATGCAAATGGTTTCCAACAGTCAAATTATGTACATGATAATGTAATTTCCCCTGAGTTTCAAATATTTTTATTTAAACTCACAATGGTATATTTCTAATCCAGTTCAAAACTTAAAAAAACCACAAAAAGCAAATCAAAATGGCAAACCATTGAATTTATTTTATTTAGACTTCTTTATACATAAAGGCTCATGAGGTACAGAGACAAAAAAAGTGCTGAGACGAGGCTCCAAAATCACCGAAGCCGAACTCCCGAAGTAAGTAAGCAAAGTCCACTGCTGCCATGACTGTGTCACAGTAGACCAGTAATAAATATTTTTTAAAAAAGAATTTAAATAAAAGGAAAGTTCAGTGTGGCTTACTGCTGGTTTGTGCTGAATCTATTAAGAAAGGAAAACCATCAAGAATAATAGCAAATGGTTTTAATGGTTCTGTCACAGCATCAGAACCAGGGACCCCCTCCCCCCCCAGAACAATCTGACCCCATCTCTACAGACTTTACCTGAGTCGTGGTGAAAGCAGGGCACGCTACCAATCATTTTACAGTACGACATCCAGATCCAAGGCTACATTCTTAATGCATGGCTTTTAGGAGAAATGGTAGGGGTGGAGCACCTGCCTGTGGGGGGGCAAAAGCTTCGACAGGCCACTAAAGACGCAGACAGAAGAATAGGCGGCGTATCCTCATTCCCTCTCAGACACACACACACACACACACACACACACACACACACACACACAACATGAGCGTTATGACTGTTATTACAATAAAGACAGATGTGTTCAGGTGCAAAGAGAGTGAGAGAGAAAAATGGGATTTGTTTTAACAAAAAAAACTGCTACAATTACAAAACAGTCATTAGCTCACACTGAAACACAAATTTTTTAGGAAAATATAGTATAAAACTTTAGTCCCGACCGACTTGTACAAAATAAGCAACAATCAAGACAAAAATCAATAAGTTTGCAACTGAATAATAATAGTGACAAAGTGGTTTGAGCGATGAGTGTTTTTTATATTTTAACTTTTTTTCTTATAATTTTATTAACAAAATAGAAGCTTTGAATCATCATTGAAAAGCCAGCAAGCTATGCCCCGCCCCCAGCATAGGACACGCCCCCCAATATATATACTGTACAAACATACACATACATACTTATAAATCAAAATTAAAAAACAAGGATGAGCATAACTGAGTTCAGGTTTTGGTTGATCTCTACAGAAACAGCCACTGAAAGGCTTCTAAAGGCGTTCCATCAAATAAAAACAAAACCAGATGAAATTAACAGCTTGTTTGTTTTGCCTCGTGTGTGTGTGTGTGTGTGTGGGGGGGGGGGGGGGAATAAAATGCCAGTTTTCAAAATGACTTTCACCTTTTTGCTGGTCCTCATGGCACATTAATAATTCTTGGTGAATCTTTTAGTGTTCTTAACAGATAATTTGCAGGAAAACTGATTGATAAAGCCAAACGATTCTCCAAAACATCTTCCATTCCTGAGAGTTGGAAGATGCCATTATGGAAGCAAAAACGTTTCCAGACTTGCTTATTGATATCCTCTCTGATGAGAAAATGGAGGGAAGATGAGGATAAACAGGAAAGAGGTTAGGAAAGAAGAGAAATAAACAGTGTTATTACTAAACTGAAATTTAGTAGCTGTGGGCAAAAAAAAAATCTTAAAGAGGGGCTATAGATTGGATTTGTAGAGAAACACTGCAGCTGTGTAAGCACAACTAAATAAGTTTAACCAATGCAGCAGTTAACAGCAACGTTCTAGCAGTTCTTTTAAATAGACGTTCTCAGCAGAGCTTTCTGTTTAAAAAAAAGAGTAACAGTTTGACGAGACTTTGAAAAACCAAGAACATCCACATTTCCATCAGTCCCCAGCTTCCTGATAAGACAGCTCGTCAGTCAGAAGCCAAATGTGCAAATCACAAATTAAAAAGAAAAAATAAACTGAAGCGACGCAGCGACGATCCAGCAGGAACCATTCAGCGCCAAATGTCTGTGAGGCGGCAGCTGATCCGGTCCCGCTCAGGAGCGTTTGAGCTGCGCCAGCCGCTGCAGCAGCTGCAGCTGCCGGGCTCTCAGCTGCTTCCTCTCCTGAGCCTTCTGCCTGTCGGCGGCGTGCAGCTGCTGCAGGTACTCCGTGGCCCGCGTCAGGATGGCCACCTTGGGCGTCTTGGGGCAGTCCGCCAAGCCCGGGATCTCGTCCCGCAGCGACAGGAAGCGCGAGCGCAGGTCGTTGCGACGCTTGCGCTCCAGGAAGTTGTGCGCCCGCCGCTTGTCCGTGTCCTCGCAGTCCGAGGACTGGGGGCTCGACAGGTGCGTGGGGGGCTTCGAGGGCGAGCACTGAGGCAGGTAAGAGGAGGAGGGCGAGGAGGATGGGGACGAAGAGGAGGTGGGCGAGGAGGCGCAGAGGTCGGGGGACTCCGGCCTGACTCCGGCCGCCGTGACGTGCGGCCTGCGGCTGTCCGAGTTCAGGGGGGCGTGGCCAGGCCGTGGCTGGTGGTGAGCGTTGTGGAGAGGCTGCGCCGCCGGAGCCGAGGCCTCCTGTCGCAGCTTTTTCCGGGGCGGCTCCGACGCCACGGGCAGAACGTCCGGGGAGGGGGCGGCGTAGTTGTGCTGCTGCTGGTGGATGGAGATGTGGAACCGCTTGGTGCCGGGGTCGTGGGGGTCCGCCCGAACCGTTATGGTCACGGGTTTGCGGGTGGCGACCAGTCGGCGAGGCTTACGCTGCTGCTGCTTGTGCTCAACGGTCACCACGTCGATCTCCTCTTCGTCGTCGTCTTCATCATCTGAGAAATCAAAAAAATCACCATTAGTATAGGAATATTCAACTGGTGGCCCGGGGGCCAATTGACCTCCATCTGGCTCGCCACAAAGGCCCTACCCAAAAAATAAATAATTAGATTTTTTTGCATCATTTAATATAAAAATACATTTCAAATTATTTGATTGCAAGAAAACAAACAAATGTGTTTCACCTATCATTAATGGGCAACGCTGGGGGAGGGGCTTTAAGTAACAATGGCCCCCGGAGCAAATTAGATGAATAGTCCTGTTCTAGGATTAAATATCTACACTCTAAATCTACATTTAGTACACCACAGTTTTGATTGTTTAAATGAAACAAGTGCAGCCATTTTTGGCTAAACCTTGAAAAACAACATAAAACAAACACATAAAGGTGTTAGAAGATAACACGCTCAGAGCTCCACATCTTAGCTCAGAATCTATAAACTAACAGAATTCTAGACATTGGCTGAGATCAAACAGCTGCTCTGAACGGCTCCTTCAGTTCTGTGAAAATTTGCTGAGTTCACTCATGTGTTGAGAGTCAGCTTTAGGGCGGGTCGGGAGGGATCTGTGTACTGGTGGAAAAGAGGACAACTTTTAGCATGTTAGAGCAAACCTTTGAAAGCTGTTTCACTGTTTTGTTTCTTAAAGTTAAAAATAAGATCCCATTAACTTCCTTGACTGAAGGCAGATCTGGACTTTTAAAGCCTGATGACACCACTTGCAATGTCATCTATAAATGTGTCATGATAAGAACTACAGAGTCACTCTTTAATGGATCTGCCTTTAAGGCTGAACATCCACTTCAGTCCATGTTGTACCCAGGAAAACACTCCCCTCAGGCTCCTGTTGGAGACCTCCGTAGACCCGGGGCCGGCCACCCGAACGGCTAATCCTGCACCCTTGAAAAGCCCCGGCTGGCTCGGATCAAACCCACACACTGACACAATTGGCGCCGCAGCCTGTTGAGCGGAGGAATGCAGCAACAAGTTCCCTTTGTGGCATTCCACACGACATTATGCACGGTCCAAGCTCGGCGTCACATGGCAGCCTACATACCAGAGGGGATATCTGGGAGGGGGAAGAAGGTCTTGAATCAAGGAGGTCTAATGTTTCCGAGAAGGAAAGGAGTGTTCTTTTATTATTTTTGTTAATTTTTTTTGAAAACTGAGCCAACAGGGGAGGACCATGTTTTTTCTTAGAGTGGAGGAGCAGCTGATCTGCTGGAGAGCTCTGCCAAGCAGCAGATGTTTCAGTGGGTGTGTCACTCCCTGGCCTTCAAGCATGTGTTGCAAGGTAACGCAATGCAGTCCTGAGCCCTGCCAACTAACTGCTGCTACTGTGACCAGCTGACGCCAGATATCAACAGCTCCCAGACCAGATTAGAGGAAGGACACAGGCGTAGCTGAGAAACAAACTTGAAGTGTTATCTAGTGGAAGTTATTTTCCCACTCGAGATACTGACCTGAAGAATCTGTGGGAGACTCGGAGCCTGACGACACCTGCTTCTTGCATCCACTGGGTAACGGGAAGGTGAGCACGGCAGCCGGGTCCACGCAGTCCGCAGCCAAGCCCCCGGCGTCCGAGAGGGCACCCTGTGTCCTTCCAGGGGATCCGCCTTTAGCAGCCGGCCCCGAGCCGGGACAGGGGGCGCAGCGCTCCCCTACGACTCGCTCCAGCTGCTGTCCGGCCGACACGCAGCTCCACATGCAGTCCTGGATTATGATGGAGCTCAGGTTGCCGAAGGAGTCCCCGCCTGGCGCCAGCTTGCAGGGGACATCCTGATGCTGCTGCTGTTCGTCCTCCTGTCCCAGGAACTGGGACACCCACTCCAGCTTGTCCCCGAGCGACGGGCACAGGAGCCCGAGCTTGGCCGGCCCATCCACCGTCCGGATGGGGGACATGGGCGGGGTGGGCACCAGCTCGAACTTCTTCCAAATGTCCTCGCTGGGCGCGGTGGACTTGAAGAAGTCCTCGTCCGGGTCGTGGTCGTCGTAGAAATAGGGCTGGTAGTGGTCCAGGTGGTCCATGTCCCAGTTGTCATAGCGAGGCGCGGCGGAGCTGATGCCCGGCATGGGGGCTGCAGGCAGTGTGTGTGTCAGAGAGGGTGGGGGGTGAATCACTCCTTCTTGCCTCCGTCTGTGGAACGACAAGAGTTTACAGACATTTTACAGTAAATCCAACAAATTACTTTTTTACAGTGCAGATCAATCAACACAGACCAACTCTTTAAAAAAGGGTTATGTTGATGCCAGGTGTAGAAAGGTTGCTTTTATTGAAATAAGAAATGTCTGAGGTTCTCTCATATGATCTACAAGATAAAACAATTGGGGGGGGGGGGGGGTTCCAGGTGTGTCGAAGTTCCCTCCTGCTCATTAGAAGTTGGAGTTTTGCAACGCAGCTTGGTTACATAACCCTGGTTCAGTGTGACAGAGATCCACTGGAGGGTCAGAGGGTTCGCCTGGCTGCTCAGCACTGAACAAGTCTGATCAGGATAAAATATAAAGTAAAATGTAAGGAAACAGAGGATTCCAGCTCAGAAAGCAGTTTTCTGAGGCTCCTCCTGGACCCAGATCCTTATCAGAGCTCTGAGCGCAGCTGCGGCTGAAAAGCGCCCCATCAATTAGGCTGCAGGCGCGCTGAGAGGGAGAGGAAAAATCCTGCGTTATCGCCTCCGAACGTGCGTCTGAACGATCGCACGAGACGTAATGTGAGAGAGGAATTATTCAAACGGAGTCTCACCTGGTGCTGAGCGTGGAAACCCGCTCCGCGTCTTCATAGATCCACCGTGCGCAACATCCAGTGTGTCCAAAGGGCGCAGCGATCCCGTTCCTGCTTTTAAATCCGAGCTCTGCCCGCTCAGCTGTTCGCTGACTTTGTTATTATTTTTGTTCTGGGGGGGTGTTGGGAGGGGACTGGGGGACATACAGTCCCTGAGGTTCGTTCGGTGTCGGTCCCGCGCCGCTCCAGTGGCCCGGTGCGCTCCGGGTTCTGGCCACTTTTCTTTGCAGACTGCTGCACTAATGTGATCCCAGGCAGGAGAAGCTGTTTATGCACAAGAGGCGGGTCGTAGTAGCGGAGCCGCGCCCCCTCATTTAAAGGTGCAGTCCGCTAAAAACACACCAATATTCTGTATGAACACACACACGCACGCACATGGAAGGGGCGCGCGCGCACCGGGTTACATGACTCTCCTTTCATAAGCTGACTGAGCTGCTTTTGTAATCGTTGTGTAGGAGCACGTGTGCAAATACATAAGTGTGTGATGCTGAGTCAGCATTGTTTTTCTTTGTTTCCCGGATGTTTTGTTTAATTATTTAGGACCATTGGGGAGTGGAAGGTCGCTGGTTCAATTCCTTTCAAGCCCCACTCTGGGCCCTTGAGCAAGGCCCTAACCGCTCAGTTGCTCTCCTGGCGCCTCAAACATGGCAGCCCACTGCTCATGTGTGTGCTCACATGTGCAATGGGAAAAATGCAGAATAATGAATGAATGAATGAATGAATGAATGAATGAATGAATGAATGAATGAATGAATGAATGAATGAATGAATGAAATCTACGGAAGTCTAGAGCAGCTGTTTTCCGCATGTAATTATTTTCCATGTTTTTCTTGTGATGACATAAACATATGATGTTGTTATCATGAAATAAGTTTTTTTTCTCAAGATGATTAAATTTCCAGATGTTTTCATCTCTTCATCATTCAGTCACCACAGACACGGCCTCATCTGCTCATCAATGAACTTATTAGAGATGATTTTCTTTATTATTTTCAGAAAAACCTTTAAAAACTGATCAAATTCTTGAAAATTTTCAATCTACTTCAACCTGTTGCTCTAATTTTAACATTTAGCTACTCTTTTCATAAACAAAAATTTTAGCTAATGTATTGCTAATTGTTACTTTTATGTACTGTTTTGATAGTTTTCACTTTTGGTAAGTTTTATGTTTAAGCTACTGTTACAGCAATTTTAGCTTTCAGCTACTGTTTTTCTCATTTTTATTGTAAGCTATTAGCTTTTGCTTGTTTTACCTTTCAACAACAGTTTTGATAGTTTTATCTTTTCGTAACTGTCTTGCAGCTTTTAGCTTGTGTTTAGCTAAATTGCACTTTTATCCAATGTTTTGCTCATTTTAGCTTTTAGGTTTTTCTGCACACTTCAGGGTTAGGGATGCTAACTACAAATTGTTAGCCACTGATGGTTGTAGCTTCATTAACTGTTTTTCCTCATTTCAACTTTTAGAAATATTTTTAAAGATATTTTTAACTTTTAATTTTGTTTTGCTCGTTTTAGTAAGCAGCTGTTAAAGCTACCGTGGTAACCATGGTGTCTCTCACTCCCTGACCAAGCTCTGAAACTGAAGGCTGACAAAAAAATATAAACTATAAAGTAAGCCTCAAACAAACAATCGTCAAACAAAAACTACATTAAAAATCTTGAACTTTAACAGATAAACGCATGTCGTTACACACACATTAAATGCTGACGTTTTCTACAAAGTTTTATAAGAGATAAAGCAAATTATTTAAAATTTGAATCCAGATACAGTGGGGAAAATAAGTATTTAGTCAGTCACCAATTGTGCAAGTTCTCCCACTTAAAAAGATGAGAGAGGCCTGTAATTGACATCATAGGTAGACCTCAACTATGAGAGACAAAATGTGAAAAAAAATTTGAGAAAATCATTTTGTCTGACTTTTAAAGAATTTTTTTGCAAATAATGGTGGAAAATAAGTATTTGGTCACCTACAAACAAGCAAGATTTCTAGCTGTCACAGACCTGTAACTTCTTTTTTAAGAGGCTCCTCTTTCCTCCACTCATTACCTGTTTTAATGGCACCTGTTTGAAGTCGTTAACAGTATAAAAGACACCTGCCCACAACCTCAAACAGTCACACTCCAAACTCCACTACGGTGAAGACGAAAGAGCTGTCRGAGGACACCAGAAACCGAATTGTAGACCTGCACCAGGCTGGGAAGACTGAATCTGCAATAGGCAAGCAGCTTGGTGTGAAGAAATCTACTGTGGGAGCGATAATCAGAAAATGGAAGACATACAAGACCACTACTAATCTCCCTCGATCTGGGGCTGCACGCAAGATCTCAGCCCGTGGGGTCAAAATGATCACAAGAACGGTGAGGAAAAATCCCAGAACCACAAGGGGGGATCTAGTGAATGACCTGCAGAAAGCTGGGACCAATGTTACAAAGGCTACCATCAGCAACACACTACGACGCCAGGGACTCAGATCTTGCAGTGCCAGACGTGTCCCCCTGCTTAAGCCAGTCCATATCCAGGCACGTCTGAAGTTTGCTAGAGAGCATTTGGATGTTCCAGAAGAGTATTGGGAGAATGTCATATGGCCAAAGTAGAACTATTTGGTAAAAACACAACTCGTCGTGTTTGGAGGAAAGTGAATGCGGAGTTGCATCCAAAGAACACCATACCAACTGTGAAGCATGGGGGTGGCAACATCATGCTTTGGGGCTGTTTCTCTGCAAAGGGACCAGGACGACTGGTCCGTGTACATGAAAGAATGAATAGGGCCATGTATTGTGAGATTTTGGGTGCAAACCTCCTTCCATCARCAAGGGCAATGAAGATGAAACGTGGCTGGGTCTTTCAGCATGACAATGATCCCAAGCACACTGCCAGGGCAACAAAGGAGTGGCTTCGTAAGAAACATTTCAAAGTCCTGGAGTGGCCTAGCCAATCTCCCGATCTCAACCCCATCGAAAACCTTTGGAGGGAGTTGAAAGTCCGTGTTGCCCGCCGACAGCCCCAAAACATCACTGCTCTAGAGGAGATCTGCATGGAGGAATGGGCCAACATACCAGCAACAGTGTGTGCCAACCTTGTGAAGACTTACAGAAAACGTTTGACCTCTGTCATTGCCAACAAAGGATATACAACAAAGTATTGAGATTAACTTTTGTTATTGACCAAATACTTATTTTCCACCATTATTTGCAAAAAAATTCTTTAAAAGTCAGACAAAATGATTTTCTCAAATTTTTTTTCACATTTTGTCTCTCATAGTTGAGGTCTACCTATGATGTCAATTACAGGCCTCTCTCATCTTTTTAAGTGGGAGAACTTGCACAATTGGTGACTGACTAAATACTTATTTTCCCCACTGTATGAAGGAAGACCTTTTAAGTGATGTTTTGTACTTAGCTGGTTGACATTAACTCCCCCTCTTGTAGCTCCAGGATTGTAAAATCACCTTGGGGCCATTAACACCTTTATAGATTAATTTTACCATCCATCCATCCATCCATTTTCTGTACACGCTTCTTCCTTTCCAGGGTCGCGTGGGTCACTGGTGCCCATATCCAGCAGTCACAGTGTGAGGGGCGGGGTACACCCTGGACAGGTCGCAAGTCCATCACAGGACCAAAGAAAGAAAAATTTAAACCCTTTAGCTTCAAAAAGGGATGAAAGGACCTCAAACCTCAGAGGTGTTCTCTCCTAATGCTGCAATCTAGAGTCACAAAGCTTCATAGATTATTAGATTATTGTTTCTGTGCCATTTATTAATTAAAGTCACCCAAATATATTTAGTAGTAAAGATTTAAGTATCCATTAATATAGAGTGAAGCTGCACAAAGTTGTGTTTCACATTAGTGGACTCTTTCGGAGATATTTTTACAGAACCTAAGTAGTTTGCTGTAGTCTCCTTGATTTAGCGGAAAATGGAAATAAAGTAAAGAAATATGTTTTTTCTCTCTCTTGCTTTTTTTGTCAGTTTTCAAGCTAAATTAAGAACATAACCCACACAAAAATTGGGACTTCACCATACAGGCAAAAGTGAAGTAGTCCTAAAACTGAACCTCGTGAAACGATTGTGTCATTTTGACAGGTTGATCTCATCCCATAACTTTGACACATCGATCCTTATTTTTCCAGCTGAACCAGTTAAGAGCTTGTTGTAAAGGAAACCTTTAAATGAGTCTAATAATTAACTATCGAATGCCCTTTTCAGACCATCATTTATAGATCTTTTAATCTTTTCTATAGAACAGCAGCATGAAACCCAAACTGGCTGTCTTTATAAGGATAACGTTTCATTCCAGAGCAGGGGGAGATAAGCTGCTACAGATAAGTGTCTGTGTGTCAGAGGGGAGGGGGGTCGATGGTCACAGTATTTCATGTGGACATATGGCCATGGTATCTGGTGTCATGTGTCTTGTGGTCCCTGTAATCAATATCATGCTTATGATGTAAAGCCCTCCATTTGAGAACGTCAATATGGGAGCAACATGCTGCGTCTGCCTCGTCCTCTGTGTGTGTGTGTGTGTGTTCTCAACAGCTGCCGGCAAACACACCAACAACTGCTGACGCCTGTTTTTCTTGCCACATGAAACCAGCTCACTGGTGCCGTTTGGAGTCGTGAAAATGTGGCTCACAGGCTCACTTTGGACGGCCTTCGCAAAACCACCCTTTCTGAAACTCTCCAACTCTGCATCTTCAATTCCAAGTCTGTCCTGATCTAAGGTCTTGACCCCATGTGATCCAGGGGGACTTTATGAGGGTTTTATCCTCTGTTTCCCAGGGGAGATGCTACAAAGTCACAGAACAAACAGAGCGGTGGAAGAGAAGCAGCAGTCTTTCTGTCCACACCTCCCTCCCCGCCCCTCTGTTCCCGGTCCTGATCCCTCTCACTCTGGCTGCTTTCATCTCGTTCCTCTCGGCCCCTCCGCCTTGTTTCACACTTTGAAATGCCTAATCTTCTCCCTTTTCTTTGAATTAATCATCAAAAGTGAGTAAGTGCAAGGACCGGCTTCTTCAAGTTTACGAAGAAATGTCTTCTTCGATGAAATAAGTGATTGAGATTAAGGAGTCCCCGTGGGTTAAACCTTCTCCCTGTTCCAAATTAATAAAAAAATAAAAAAGCAGCGCTGTCTTGTGAAAGACCGCATTTATTTGATGTGTAAATGTGAACGTAAATCAGGAAAATGCAAATCCGTATTAGGGTCTGTCTCTTGTGAGAGTCAGTGAAATTTACAACTATTCCCTGTTGGTTTGGTGGATTT